GTACATGAGGTGTGATCATTAGATAAATTAAGATGCTCCTTGAGTATCCCTAATGTTACTAGAAAAAGTTACTGGAGCCAATTGTCCCTAGCATTAGGGACATGTCCCCAGACCTAACATCGTTAATGACACACTCAAGAGGGGAAGAGATATGCCACTGCCGGCTTTCTTTAGTGCAGGTCGACAAAGAATATTCTAGACAGCCAATATCAAGTCATACAGATAAGTCATGAGAGATAATGACTTTCTCTCTTACAAGCTTTTCAAGTTGTCTTTGAAAATACATCAATGGATAAAAAGCACATTCCATTGAAATTGATGGTCTAGAGAATGGCCTTTTTCTTCTAGAAGTTACAAGGATGTACAACTTTGAGTTAGACATATTTCTTCAAGTAAAATTTTTTTTGAAAAAAATCGAATAGCGATTCTCTTCATTAGGCACTTCAATTTTATTTGTTCAACTTTCTTGTTTGGATGTATCGCAATTTTTTGATGTTAGTATATTGATACTGTACCAACCCCGATAATCCTACGTACCTATTAGACATACATATCTCACACCTACACTCCCCGCACTCAAAGCTTAGAACGATAGAAAAATGTATTCAAAACGCGTCTCTTTACTTCAAGGGCCGCGGCCAGCGTGCTGATATTCATATGTGTCCTGCATGACTGATACCATAAAACATATATATATATATATACTGAAGAAGGCTTAATTCTATGCTTTTCAATGGCAATATGGCTGACCTATCTACTTGTCAGCGACCATTTTTTGTGGGTGCGGCATGGTTGCCAGATTGTACATCCATGCTGCGCAACGTTGCCAGCTCTACATATAAATATGAGATTGCTGTACTTTTATATACAGGGTGACTTCGAAGTTGAGTCATTTATTTTAACAGTGAGTAGATCTGATCAAAAGAAATGTTTTTTCCTTTACCATTTTTCTGGTAAAATTAAAGTAACAAAGTTATAGCCCTTTGGAAGTTTGAGTACCGCCCTGTCTCAATAATGATATTATGTTCTCGTGTTTGGCAACAACAGATATAATCCGCCTTATCCGTTCATCGCATCGGAAACAAAAAAGCGAAAGAATTTGGAACGATCTTTTTACAATTATTTTCTTCAGTTGTATACAGTCAGTATCAGTCGGTAGTCGGTAACGCGTAAGTGAATAATCGTGTCTGTTGCGAGGCTCAAATCAAAAATGGCACATGTTTACGAAAATGCTGAACTTGTGGACATGGTTCTTATTTACGGGGAGTCTTTACAAAATGCTGCCGCGGCATCACGGATCTATGCGGATCGGTTTCCCAATCGAGTGCAACCAACCCCTCGTGCCTTTGTTAATGTAGTGCAAAGAGCTCGTGAATCAGGTGACTTAAGACCTCACAGAGGAGATCATGCCGGTGCTCCAAGACCACACGATCAAATAGAACTAGAAGAACAAATTTTAGAATTAGTAAGTGATGATCCAACAGTAAGCACCCGACAAATTTCAACTCAATTGGCGATTAGTCAGTATAAAACTTGGAAAACTCTACGTGAAAATCAGTTCTATCCGTTCACATACAAAAGTGCAGGCCTTACAACCGGAAGATCATGAACAAAGGGTTGACTTTTGCAATTGGCTTTTAAATAAACATCAAAATGATGACAATTTTTTAAATCAAATTTAGTGAGTGATGAAGCCCTCTTTACTAGAAACGGAATTATTAATTCACGTAATTCTCACGTTTGGGCTATTGAAAATCCCCATGAAATAAGGGAAACCAATTTTCAACAGCGATTTGAACCAATCAACCTGTGGGCGGGAATTGTTAATGGAATTTTAGTGGGGCCTTTTGAATTACCAAATCGCTTAACTGGTGAAAATTATTTTGATTTCTTGCAACACAATTTGCCTGGTTTACTGGAAGATGTGCCTTTAAATATTAGACAAAACATGTGGTTTTTACAAGATGGGGCACCACCCCATTATGCAAGAAATGTGCGTGAATTTTTAAATAGACAATTTAATAATCGTTGGATCGGCCGTGGCGGTTTTGTACCTTGGCCGCCAAGGTCTCAGGACTTAAATCCTTTAGACTTTTGTTTGTGGGGTTGGCTAAAAACTCTAGTGTATAAAACACCGGTTAATACACGCGAAGAATTACGTGCTCGAATTGAGGAAATGAGTACAGTGATCAGAAATCAACCAGTGATTTTATTGCGTGCTTGTAAAGAGACATGGCTAAGACGCGCCCAGCTGTGCGTCGAGCAAAACGGAAATCATTTCGAACAGTTTTTGTGACATGCTTTTGGGCGCACAGGTCCGCACTGAAATACTTGTCGGGAGGATACTTTATAAAACAAGGTAACATTTTCTTTTTAATTTTTCTTTATTTTTACACACATATTTTGGTTTATCTTCCTTCTACAATCATTATCTGAAAATTAATGACTCAACTTCAAAGTCACCCTGTATAGAATTTGGTGATATATGGAAGATCTTATAACGAAATGTAATATCAACATTTTGCGCTATCTTGACGAATAAATGCTCTCTTGTATGTTAAAATAGCAATGTCAGTAACACAGGCTGTTATAAGGTCACTCATATCCACTTAATCATCTGGAAAGGTCCAGAAGAAAAGCATAAATATGTTGCAAATACCTAAATATATATTTATTATATATTATATTTGTTTGCACCTGCATAAATCGAAAATTACCAAGTGGAATTGTGTAGATACCCGTCTTTAAAGAGCAGAGGAAGCAAATTTTCTCACGGGGGACAAATCCTAAAAGTTGCACATAAAATCATTTGCAACTTTTAGGGTTCAAGGGGATTCTCAGGAGAAGTCACAGCTCCCCTGACACCTCCCAGACAACATTTAGAGTCCAGAAAGTGCCACACACATAATCTGTACACAATAAATTGTTGACTAGTTATCAGTTAGTTAAGTTATCAAAATATCTCAATGTTCAATAGTTTATTTTCATTCTTAGTTAAGCGTCTTTAAAAAATCTAATTTTGATTCAAATCATCAATTTATTCTTACTGATATATATATATATATATATATATACCATATTTTCATACTTTTTGTTATATATATATATATATATATATAGGTGAAAAATTAAAGCTTCCGCCTTTTGTTGGGGCTCACATACTACTCACCTGACGATGATGGCAAAGTCCATTGAAAGCTAGGGAGAATAAAAAAGTATAAAGAGTCCTCCTTGCTTAAAATTTTTGTCGAAGTACCCAACAAAAGGCGGAAGCTTTAATTTTTCACCTAACTGGTCTAGACGACAATGGCCACGTCTCAATATATATATAAGCTGTTAATATAGATAGCCTCTCCTAGTAAATAAATCCAAAATAATGATCAATAAATTGATTTGCATACCAGGCATATTTGATTTTCAGCATAGCTTCAATTTCATTGAAATTATAGTGAACTTTGCATATCAACCCTGCCGCTATGAAAATAGCTGACTTAAAACAAAATATGAAAACTAACTTAAACAAAAAGCAGTATAAATCATCAGTGATTATTGAATCATATAAACTTACTAATGTTATGATGTGCAAATATCATTCTTCAGAGCTGTGCCTTTTGGTTATATCACAAGTAATCTAACTTCCGATTATTCTCCACTGTTCAAAAAGTCATGTGGAGGTTCCCTCAGGTATGATCTTCAGGTATTACTTTATCAAATAAGTAACTGCTCCATCTCTGATCTTTCTCAGGATCTGCCAGAAGTCAGGCTACTATCACTTTGGATCACCTTGAAGAAACAGCTATGATTTGGAGTTTGTCTTATACTATTTGCAAACATATAACGGCTTTGTGCAATTACAGTTTTATACTTCACACCTCTGAACAATAGGCATATGGCTAAAATAACATAGGTAATAGGGACTTTATTGAATTAAAATGTTTTTACATGTTGAAAGAAGTACTGTTATTTTTGCAAAGCACAGGAAGGAACTCGCTGGAAATTTAAATCTGGCCAATCAGACAACGTCAATTGTGAATGAGCCACCATTTTTTGAGGTTGCGACGTGGTTGTTATATTGTGCACCAGCAACACTCCGGTGTTCCTCATACTCCCATATGAGTTTCAGCTTCCTGACTGGTGGTCTGTGCGACGCGACGTTGCGAGATGGACGGTTCGACGGGTTCGGGAGGGAAATGATGTTATGGTCTAGTTGTAAGGACCTGTTTCACGGACCTGATCCGTTTAATTTCTTGTTACGCATGTTCGCAACGAGCTAAAGGACCCAACTCAGACATGCTCCTTCTGTCCGTCCAGCCAAAGGCAGCCAATCACAGGCAGCTGTGTCGTGATTTATTGGGAACTCATCTGCATGGTCTAGGCATGGACCCTGGGACAACGAAAGAAATCATTGCAACTATGCTCTGGCCAGGATGTAAGGTCTATGGCGCTATATTATTTCGATAGCGTCTAACTTGTGCTCAACATAATCCCTTATGGATTAATGATGGCGTTGCGTGGAAAGTGTACAATCAACATACTTGACGCCATTTTTCTTCCTATAACATCATCGTGAACCGCGCATTAACTAGAACTCCGGTGCCTCCGTCGCGAGTCACGAGTACTGGAGTAAGTCGACCGTGCCGAGAATTCAAAGTTCTAGGAATTATTTTTCTCATCCAGTTACGCGGAATCCATATCATATAACGAAATTTCTTCTTTGAACCCGTTATACAAAACTAAAGCCGATTATGAGGAAGAAGAATATGATCTAAAGTTTGGAATGCCCCAACAGCCAATGATTTTGCAGGATAGCATTTCTCCGTACATTTGTTAGCATTTCAGGGAGATTATTTTTTGCTATCAAACAAGACTGTTCAGTATACGTATTTCGGTGCCCAAGTAGAAGCAGTTGATGTGACTCTGAAAGACTGCATTGTAAAATAGCCTATTCTAGTTTTAAGTAATCCATCCTGTCCTATTTCAAGAACAAATTTTCTTTACAGGTAGCACCAAACGTAATCGAATTCCTGAAATCACCAGTTAACATAATCGATTTTGCGGCCACACTGAGCTTCTACATCGACATGATCCTTATTTTTGAGAAGAAGTCGCAGCTCCTGGACTTCATCAGTATCATAAGGATATTCAGGTTGTTCAAGCTCACCAGGCATTCACCAGGCTTAAAGATACTCATACACACCTTCAAGGCTTCCGCCAAAGAACTAGGATTGTTGGTGTTCTTTTTAGTTCTGGGCATTGTGGTGTTTGCTAGTCTTGTGTACTATGCTGAGAAGATGCAGGTATAGATATTATGAAGGTGGCGTGAAGTTTTATATTCACGCAAGAGGTTATTTCTATCTAGGATTAAGCAGGCATCCGCAGTATTGCTGCCAGTAAATGCTTGCAGTCGATGTGATACCGATACTATTCAGGGTGTAAACGTTATGATAGTCATTATTTAAATGGGTGACAGAGGGGATTAAAAGAAGCAAAAAGTTTCATATAACATGAGGGTCAAAATGGCATTTTTTTTAGAGAAAATCCACTTCAAAGTAAAATAAAATCTGACAACGCCGCAATGCCAGACGCAAATTACGACGGAACGCAGTGTCAATAAAGATGGAGTTTGTTATTTTTGGCTCTTAGGTATTATTTCATTATTTGATAATGTACTCGTAAAATGCAAACAATTAAAAAAAACGGACTTACCACTAACTGTCTCAGCGCTTCACCTGGTGTATGAAAGATTATTGAACGTATTAAAAAAATCCACTTATAAATAGGGACCACAATTTTGATACATACATTGTTGTTCTTTTTAAAACCCAGACTGCACCTTTTTTGTATTTAAAGAAGGTGTTCAAAATATCATCCTCCACTTTCCACACAAGGTTCATTACGACGAACCCAGTTTCTTCTTAACCTAGGTCCTCGAAGTTGTCCATTTATTATTTCAGCCGCATTAAAAATTTGTGCTTCAGTTGTTATTGGACCAGCGCGATCAACCATTCCTTTAAGTTGTCCCCAATATCAGAAATCCATAGGATTGATCTTGCTGGCCATTTTCGAGGATCAGGAGCATTTCGACCGATCCAGCGATTTGGATAATGTTCATTCTAACGACGCCTCTAGAAATGTGTGGTGGTGCCCCGTCATGAAGAAACCACAAATTCTATCTTCGTTGTAACGGCATGTTGTTGAAAGGGCCAATTACCTGATCGTCAACAATACCCGCCCAAATATTTAAGTTGTTGGAAATGACCTTCACGAATGGTATGAGGATTTTCTTGGGCCCACGTATGAGTATTATGGAAATTTAATATCCCGTCTGGCGTAAAAGTACATTCGTCCGTCGCTGGAATGTTTTTAAGAAAATCCGGATTTTCAATGTTTTTGTGGAAAAACCACTGACAGAATGTTATTCTGCGAGGATAGTCTTCTGGTAACATGCCTGCACTCATTGTACTTGGTAGGGATAAAGCAAATTGTCCCGTACGATTCTATGGACTATGGTATGTGATAGTCCTACGCGGCGGCCTAATTCCCGAGTGCTGGTACGTGCATTGATTTCCACGATATTTAATATTTGTTCCTCCTGCTCTACAGTAACCTGTCTTTCACGAGTTCGAATAATACTGGGCTGAATGCTGTATCTCGAAGTCTTTGGAACACTTGCACAAATGTCGTTCTGTCTGGGTGTACATGTTGGCGAAATCTGTCGCGATAAATTTGAGCTGCAAGATTTGAATTCTGACGAGCTTCACCGTAAATTAACAACATGTTGGCAAACTCTTGATTCGAGAACATTGTAAATAAACATGAAGGGCCGACGCGCTGTTGTCATATGTGTTTTAAATATTTAATTTAATGAAACTTACTTACTACAAGTTTTGGCTTAACTTATAAAAATTTAATGCCATTTATTTGTTAATTACCCAATTTAAAAACGTTTTAGATCAGATTATAAAAATTAGTAAGATTGTGGTGATTGTGGTCGATATAAAGCACTTAAAGTTGTAAACTATAAAGCCATTTAGACAAAAATCTATTGACCTATATTCACTTTTTGACTTGCATGAATTTCCGCATTGAGTTTTGTGGTGTAACGTGTTTTGTGGTAGAATAATAATCAAGACCTTATATTACACTTGACTACCGTAATTATTGTCCAATAACTCAAGCCAGATACGCTAGGTATTCAACAAGTGAAATAAGTTTATTAAAGTTCGATAATTGAGAAAAGCATGAAACTAGGGTTGGCGTAAATATGCCTAATAAACTCTAGTTTTAATCATTTATTTTAATAAAAATTTTCATCTGGGATAAAGATAAGCGAGATTGGGTTTCAGAACATTTAGCTGGTCTCAAAAATCTCACTCATGACATCATCCTAAAATGATCATTGTCGTTAACAAAGACATCTAGCCTTTTCAAGTAAATAGATAAGATTCGGTTGATAGCATTGATTTGGAATGTCACAATTTTCATATTTGATTCCCATTTTAGAAGCGTTTTTGGGAAAACTGACCAGGAACTAGAGATAACTGAAAGGCAGGTTTTGGTATTTTGTACATTTTGTACATTCAAAGAATGGCCGAGAGCCTGAGAAGCAGAGATTAAGGGAAATTTGGGATGTATTGATTTTCAAGCGAACAGATAGTATTAGTGAAGACAGCACTGCGAAGTTAGGTGTTCTGTTGCATATTTTTCATTTTTAGGACAACAAGGATAACTGCTTCAAAAGCATCCCAGAGGGTCTGTGGTGGGCGATAGTGACAATGACCACAGTAGGCTATGGCGACATGGCGCCCAAGACCTATGCTGGAATGTTTGTTGGTGCCCTTTGCGCCCTTGCGGGGGTTCTGACCATAGCTTTGCCGGTGCCCGTCATAGTTTCTAATTTTTCGATGTTCTACTCACACACACAGGTTGGTCTCTAAAATATTACATTTATTTCGTTTGTTTCGGTTGTTACCTTTCTGTAGATAAAATCCAAAAAGGATAATACCATAACAAAACAACAGTATCTATAAGTAGAGAAAGTGCCTTCTTGTAGAGTCTGGCACGTTCTCAGTACCGTAGGCTGTTTATGGAAGCGATTTTACTATCTCTCAATATACAGATCTTGACAAGGATATAATCACAGTTAGACTGTTGTACAACTTTTTTGTCCAAGATATTGGTTGGGGTGTTTTTCGGGACCCCACTGGGGTAATTAGAGCTTAATTAGCTCCTTACCGTCCTTGAAACCACTGCTAAATTTGAACAAAATCGACTGATGCTTTATTAAGACATTTAGGAAAAACCGATTTGTCAAAAAATGTTTGACACCCTGTGTCTTGAAAAAGAAGCATTTCTGCTTATGTTTATATGAACTTGTCATCTTATAATTACTCAAATAACTGCCTTCTAAAGTTTGGCCACGTTTTTAAATAACGCCCTGTATATACAACAGCTCTACAGTCCGCGTCGGCCCATGGCTTCTATGATATTCTTCCAAAATGTTTTATTCAGTACTTTTTATTTCCATCGCTGTATTTTCAAACGATTCAAATCTTCTCAGATAGACTCTATTCACAAACCTCTTGGTCTTTCTTCTAGAACTATTTTTGTACTTCGCGTATCAGGCATTTTGCAAACGTCCCATCCATCATAATCGCTGCATTTGCGCTACTGTCGAAATGTTCGGTTCTTTTATAGTTCTTTTAGTTCCTCATTGGTTCTTCTTCTCCAAATTCCTATATTTATAGTTTCTCAATTTTTTTATTCAACATCCACATATCGCAACCATAAAGCGCTGTTGGCCTATTAATAGCCTTATATAGCCGAATTTTCTTGTATCCTTAGATTCAATTATATTCTTCAGTGCTCCTACCTTTTTGAAACCTTGCTTTTATTTATGCCCTCTGATCTACAGTATTTGTAAGTACAAATTTTTCAACCTTTTCAATTTAATATTCCTGGTTATCATTCAGTTTTGTTTTGAACTGCTTCTTAGTGCACACAGGTTTTTCGGATCACTCTATAAATTGTTTTTTATTCATTTATAATTCAAATTGTTCTGCTGTTACCACCAGCTGTCGAAAAATCTTTTTAGAGGTGAAATGTCCCCTTTCTAGAAATCTACCGTCCCTTTCTAACTCCGATGTACAAAATCCAGGACATATACGTTCTGTTGGATTTCGTGTTATTCAAAACGTTGCAACGATATGGTGCTCCACTCTGGAGATAAAAGTTTATTTTCTTGAATTAGGTAGCAAAATGGAATAGGATAGCACAGTGCATGGTGTCACGGTGTGCCTTTGAGTATGGTGAAAACGTTAGCAGTTGAGTATGAGTTACGCTTTTCTCTTCCATTTCGATCTTTGACTATAGCTCCGGATATATTGGGTCGTTTTTTTTGGTTTCAAATCCTAAGTTTCAGGATACATTGTTGGAAAATACTAAAAGGCTAATTTCAATTGATATAATACTAATAATAACCTGATAATTACGGAAATTTTTATTTTATTTGACAGGACATCATCATCATTTATCTATTTATAATTATCAACAGGCACGGGCAAAGCTTCCGAAACAAAGACGTAGCGTCCTACCAGTGGAACAACCACGTCGCAAGAAAACGGAACAACCCACAAATCGAAGAATGAATGCTATCAAGCACAATCCCGTAGCCTTAAAGAACCAATTTGAAGATAAATCTGGTAAGTCAAACACCTGCACATAGATTTTAGCCAGCACTCAATATCTTTCCTGCACTTTCAGGCGATAATAATGGTGTCAATTTGATAGGTTTAGCTCTACAAGGACCATCAATGCCTAGTATAGCAGTACTGCATCACAATGGGCCATACACCATCCCCATAAGACCGGGTAAGTAAAAAATCGACTCGAATGGCATATTCGTTCAAGGGTCAGTAAAGTCGCTACCAAGGTTTCTGCCTACTGCCTACTTGTATAACAAAGACATCACCTTACAAACATCTTATCTTTGGTGTTTCTTAGTTCAAGGTCATCTTAGTAATAATTTCCTACGTCAGCAGAGCCAAGAATCAGCGGTGCAGCGAAACAGTTGCGGGTATCTGTGTTGTCTGATTTCGCCTCGCACCCTCCCGTGAGGTTGGAGCTGTTTGGGAACGTGGTTCCAGATGTCCTACATTTCCTTTTGACCCTTAAGCACTATTCTTCGAACACGATTTTTGAGAACAGGCAGCTGGTACATTGTGCGACTAAACGTAGTAAGCCATCAAAATACCCGTTTTGATTGTATCTCGTGATTATTGCACTCGCGGTCGCAACGGATCGATTCAAATGTTTTGCCGCTTTAAATAAATTATGACTAGAGATACTATACCGCCTAGAAACAGAATCCACTTTCATAATCCACGCGAAATATTACTGACCTAAACATTTTCGTATGTTCCAGATATACCAAGTCCGTCTGAAATTCCCCCCATAGCTCAAATCATCACCCCCCTCCGACCCCGTCCAGCCACTGTGGGCAGCGTGGATGTGCTTCCCCTGCAACCTAAATACCTACCCACTTTCGACCGTGAGCGACGGTCGGAACCCAGAGAGACTACGAGCTATCAAGAGAACCTGGTAGCATGCAAGTCGGAGCAGTTTACATCAAGGTACGCTGATTTTTGGCAGAATTTCCACATGGTATGCGAGCTCCATTCCCTGAAACCTCAAGCGGGGTGCCGCTACGTTTTAGTACAATAGATACCCTGCGTTTTCGTGTAATTAATTTTGATTAGCATACGATCTGCCCATTCCAATACCTCATTCCACTGCACCTTGTAACCTGTCGTGAACCAGATTCCCGGTATGCGACTGGGCCACCAGTGCAGTGTCATCAGCATATAGATAGACCTCACAGTCGCTAGGGCAAGGGATATCATGTGTGAAAAGTGCGTAAAGGATTTCGACAAAAAATTATTAATTTTGATCCGAAATTTCTTACCTTCAAAGAAGGATGTCAAAAGTTTGAGGAGCCAAAATGGAAACCCCTTTTGAATTAGCTTATAGAAAAAGCCTTTGTGCCACACCTTGTCAAATGCCTTCAAGACATCCAGAAGCAAGATGCCAGTACTTTCGTGAAGGGTGAAACCCCTGGTTACTTGCTCCACAAGCCTAACGGCCTGTAACTCCGTACTATGCTCAGACCGAAATCCAAATTGCACGTCCGGAATCACATGGTGATCTGACAAGAAATTCGCAAGGTGACGTAAAGTCACCTTTCCAGCGAGCTTAAACGGAGCAGACAGGAGGCTGATGGTACGATAGTCCTGGGGAAATATCGGACCCGCCTTATTTGGAATAATTATAACTTCCGCAGTCTTCCATGCCGATGGAAAGTACTGGGTTCTTAGCAGAGCATTGATAATATTCACGAGATGATAAGTGAAGGACGTCCGTAAAAGCAGCTTCAGCGCCGTTAATTAGTGAATTGATCCTCCCCAGGCGCTTTACGCACCTTGAGGTTTTTAATATGACCTTGAAGCTCTGCTGGTGTGCAATGTGGGATTTCGGGAAGAATCACTAATGGCGGCGCGGGGATCACTAACGCCGTTGGGCCTAAAATATCTGCTGACGGATCTTAGAATTTGTTGCTCCTCGTCGGGATCATTATCAAGATCATAGTTGGGAGAGAACTGTCGTTCCATAGCATGAGAGAAAACCTCGACCTTGTCCTCGGTCCTGAAGACTATTTATAGATGAGATGATGGACGATGGCGAGACTTCTGTACTTTTTGTCCCAGCATGACTCAGAAAGTGGCGAACATTTCGATAACGTTGATTTATGTAAGTCACGTCAGGCGATATGGGATGTTATCTCGAACGTATTTGCTTTTTCCCAAACTCAAGTGAAGCTTCAGCAAGCAATACGAATTTAGTAAAATACAATTTGAGCTCAGAGAACCTTGTTACTGCAGAAATCTTACCCCAAAACGTTATTGTCAAAGATAGCTAAGTATGATGAGCTCTTAATACATGCACAGGGATTAGGGCTCTTAACACATGCTGCTTTTTAACTAATCGTGATAAGTAATCCAAAAGAGTCAGGTAAGAACTCGTCGAGCAGACATTCTTGTTGTATCCAATTGGATACTATTGGCTTGTAGCCGGTAAGATGCCGAAATCGTGCCATGAGTATTGTTGGTATTCTAACTGAATTGATCCACAAATACTGACGAATCAACTTTTATTTCGGCTCTTAATGAATTCTTTTCGCAGGTTTTTCAATGAAGTATGTCCTAATCTGACAGAAAAAGAGATTAGCCTAGCGAGCGTCCCAGCAATGGCGATAGGCAGTTCCACAGAGGTCTTGGTGAGCATAGTAGAGAATCAAGCCAAGCTGCGTAAACGGTCACTTATGACGATGCCTTGCGATCCCAGGAACCTGGAATCAGCTATGGAGAAGGACTCTCCTGACTTCGAGAACCTCAAGTCGCCCAGCACTGAGTTTACCACCTCGACGGTGGAGTCGACACCTGCGGAGGAACGTGTAAGGGCCGAGTGTGATATTAGCAGGCGTGGTAGTGACAAATACATCGTGTACTAGTTGAGGGATCAGTGTTTCATGATAATTTATATTATATTGTTGCGACTCATTGGATAGAAGGATTTCTTATCGTTGTTGTAACACCATATCGTCGCTAAGGTACTAACACTGCGTAACTAAAAAAATAATTAATAAGGTATGCGTGTACTTGAAAAGAGTCATCAGTAAACAGTATTTCAAGGACTTAGGGGCCAAACAAATATGGGGAATTATAAAACAAGAATGTGATTCGATAAGGGATCCAAAGACCCACCGTTATTTTTGCTCTCCTAAAAAGTTGTCAGTTTTGAGAGATGCGATATTAGAACTTGCGCGCTTTTGACTACCAATTCTTTACAAGCGTTGCGTATTTCTAATTAGCCGTTTAGTACTATAATTCATGAATACTGAATACTAATTGATAAAAGTTTGTATATCTTTTTTCGTAATTTGCCTTCAATAGAGAATTCTGAAATAGTCACTTTTATCCGATGACTTGCAATAACAAGATTCGAAGATTTTTACTATAATGCATATCTAAGTGTGAATACGACACAAAACATCATTATTATCACTGTTGTCAGGTCTATTATCAGTGTGGTTAGTCAATGGTATGATTTGAATATGGGCCAATAATAACACATTTTTTTAAGGTTCATTTAGTCTGATAGACTGATTATTGAATCGGACCCTTTCTGTTCTAAATACTCGTATGAGTGTAAAGCAGATCCATGGTTTTGGTTGATTATTGCACGTTTAGACTGTCTATCGATAGTTTAGAATCCCGATTTAGTCAAAGAAAATTTGAGACTTTTTATAACTCATATGCATTTAGAGGGACCAAAAACTTTTAAATTGAATAAAAATAGAAAGCATAAAAAGTACAAAATAAACTAAGCAGTAGAGGTTTTGGCCACATGTCCAAAAATAGTTTTTTATTAGATATTATAGGAATATTCCGTCCCTGGAAACAACTCAAATTTCAAATAGATAACATCTATGAGATTTTTATATTTGAGTATCGTAGAACATTTGAATCTTGAACTATCACCAAATTTTTTTATTCTAGTGCTTCAATGCTTTTAAGTACCCAGACTTCGTCATTTTTGCATTTTGGTCCAAAACTAACCATTTGGTAATAATTAACTCAAGTATATTTAAATAAGCGCATGGTCACAATACTCTCCACTTTCCACTTCAAATCTATAATAACACATAACAAGGCACAAAATATTAAACAAATAATAGTGTTGCTCTAGTACGCTCACATTAAAAACAAAAAATGCTGTCACAGTATAATAGATCATTGATGTCCGTTTTTGTTTTTATTGTGGGCGCAGTGTGAAATACAATCAGGTGCTGAAAAAGCAAAATATTCATGCAAGTTTAAAATAAATACGCTTTAAAATATTTAAATGTAAAAACTTCGTAGATGGAATCAATATGAATTATTTTCAGAGCCGAGCCGAGCATATAGAGCTTGATGCTTCTACCAAGCAAATCTAAACTTTATATTTTCATCACAAGTTTATAAACTTGCCATGATCAACTGAAACTTATGGAAGCTTTGACCTTGCTACATCATCAAGTATTATGGTATTTCCTTCTTACTACCAATAGTTAGGACTGAATGAAAAAGTATTTATTCATGAGACATTTTCCATAAAAATAATGTTAAGCAAGGCTCGTGTAGCAGACCCAAGCATAGTGAGCCACAGGATCAGTATAGAACCGAAAATAATACACTGCTCATTCAAATAATGGCAACGATGCAGCGCGTAATGCCACTGTTACGTTAATGGTCTTAAATGCAAGTTGACAGCAACTAAACATTTTTAGTATGATATGATCTGTTGTGTTACTAGAAGTCATAATGAATCAAAATCGCATATTGACGCGTTTATTCTTTCCAACCAAGTTTTTATTTATTGAAAAGTTTCCTAATTGAATATCAACATGTAAGGGGGTAATCTTTGGGTCCATCTTAAGAAGTAAACCTTACATGAACCTATGTCCCCTGAAGATCTTAACGGCACGCCACCGACCTTTCTTATAGATAAAAAAAATAGTAGTAGTAGTAGATACCATTCAGGTTTTTCGGGCTGTTGAGCCGTATTGGGGTTGGATTTTTCGGCTACATCTGCGGTAGCCACCTTCAGCGGCACTGTCGGCGAGAGCGAAGTGCTCGGCTTGGCGGGTCGACTGAAACTGATCGGCCAACTGGATGGGCGTACGGTTTTATAGGCGATCGGCAGACTGAGGACTGAGCTGTCTGGTAGGGGAGTCTGGGTCTCTTGAATGACGTGGTTTTTGTGCTGTGTTTTTTAGAATTGGGAACCACGTTTTGTTTAAAGCCAGGCCTTCAGTTTGGTAGAACAGAACATTGTGGCCATCTTGGAGTGCGTGTTTGGCTACCTCTGATTTATCAGTTTGTTCCAGTCGACAGTTTCTTTCATATTCCTTGATGCGTGTTCGGTACTTTACCACAGGAACACGGTATTCTGTATACGCCGTCACCGCTCAAGGGGTCCCTAGGGTCCTTTACTGATGTTAGGAGTTGCTGGATTTGATTTGTCGGCTTGTAGATGGTCTTGACGTTGCGTTTCTGCAGCAACCTACCTATTTTATCTGTAATGCCTTTAATGTATGGTAGAAAGGAGACTCCCGTAGGTGGTTCCTTGTCTCCTGCCGGCGGTCTGCTTTTTTGTCGTGAAACCTGCTTTATTTGTTCCCTGCTATAGCCTTTTGCTTGTAAGACTATGGTAACATGATCCACTTCCCCCTGCAGGTATTGAGGTTCACAGATTTGGTGTGCCCTGTCTATCAGATTTTTAGTGACACCTCTTTTTTGTCCAGGATGATGGTTGTGTAGATATTTGTCAGTGTGTGTTGCTTAGCGGTAAACTCTGTGACCCATCTCTAAGTTCTCTCGTCTTACCACCAGGAAGGCCAGTTGATTGTCCTCTTCTATCTCCATTGTGAATTTGATTTTGGGGTGAATGCTGTTTCGCTGATTTAGGATGACTGCTAGTTATGTTCTTTCGTGGCTCCATACCACGAAGGTATCATCCACATACCGTAGCCAACAACTGGGACGATTGGGAGCGGTGTTCAGTGCCTCTTCCTCGAACTTTACTATGTAGAAATTGGCAATTATAGGGCTTAGCGGACTTCCCATTGCGACGCGTCAGTTTATTCATAAAATTGATTGTTCCATGCGCCACTAGACCTATCACTGGATTACCTAAAGCAAGTTTTTCCAGAGAATATCCAACAAGACCACGGCTCAACAGCCCGAAAAACCTAAATGAAATTAGAATTAGCCGTGAAAGACTTCATCCTTCAAGTAGTAGTAGAGTCTGTATTCATTTATGAGAAGATCTGATCTCTTGAATCTTTTTATTCCGACGAGCAGTTTTCGCCTAAAAAAGTAAACGATACTGTTATGATCATGCAGAGAAACGGTTTTCATTTTTTTAAGCGAAAACCGTGCATTGAATCGAAAAAAGTAAGCAATCGAATATGTTTATAAATGACTGGGGATTTCTAGAGTGATTATTATTTGAAGAAAAATCAATGTCTGCTAAAGAAGACAAGTGAAATTCCAAACAAACGCCTCGGGTGGAAGAAAATAAAGTAAATAATGTGGTACATCAAAAATGCTTCTGATTGAAATATCTGAACTGGTATTAAGAGATATTATGTATCTCTCGTATAAAGCTTTCTTCTTAAAATGGATCCAACAGCTTAAATATTGACATTAATCAATAAAATCAACAGTTTTCGAAGTTTTTCAATTTCTGTAATCTACCAACAAAGACATTTTGCCCTAAGTAATAAAAAGCTTCGTATGATAGATTTTCTTGGTTTGCACGTAAATTAAGCGATTGTAACCCGACTACAGTAACCCAAAGGAGTGTATTTTTTATTGTGCTATCAAGACTAATCAAATGTCAAAATCCATCAAGTCATTTCAAGTTTAACCCATGAGACATAAATTTCAAGGCTTAAGCTTAATATCCACCATTTTGATCTTATAAAATTTTGGTATACATCGGGTCACTCTCTCTCTCTTCCATGATCAATCAAGACGTTTAAGCTGTAGCGCATGAAGCAGAAATTTAAAACTTTTTTTATTAAAATTCGCCATTCTATTATTATAAATCCCACCATCACTTGTAGTGCTAAGGCAAAACTAACGACACTCACATGTCAAAATCCATCATGCCGTTTAAGCAGTAGCCTGTGAAATAGGAGTTTCAAGGGTAAACCTATCTTCAACATCCGCAATTTTTTTAGTAAGTTTTAATGTAGTCAACATTTTTGTCGTACTGCTGAGAACAATTCAAGAATATCTCTCATATCAAAAGCAACTAAGCTGTTTAAGCTTCAGCTTGTGAAATAGGAATTTTAATGTTGATTGTTTTATTATTTATATTATATATATATTTCGTTTTTATAATTCTTTTGTTACAAAGATACATAGGTGTACATACCCACGCGCCAAAAAATTACAGTCGGGTGAAAAGTCCGAAAATAGTAACTATACAAAGAAATTAAGTTATTCTAAGAAACAGAATGATTTCCTTTTCAGTTTTCCTCAGAACAATTTTGTTAAGAATTACTCGTACATTAAACTATAAATTATTAGAACGACTTGTCAGATTTCTAAAATGCTCTTAAATGATCATTTTAATAACTATTTCTAATAAAGATACTAATTTCTCAGAAGTCATTCTCAGTTCAAGCCGAGCTCGCGAGATGGTAGTCAGGTATTTATTTACTTTCTAGCTCCTTTTATCACCGTTGAGGTAAAAGGGGAATCATTATTATGAAATCATGGTCTGATCTACATTGGTTTGACCGTCTATTTGTAAAAAATATGATAATATGAGTGTGTTTTTCAGTAATTTTTTGGCTTACTGTAATTTTTAATACTAGTTACGACCCTGTTCTAAGAAATACTGAAAACGAAAAATATATTTCGGGTTATTGTTGAAAAATTACAAAAATTGAAAAATCTAAAAAAATCATATATATGGGGTGACATGTTTTGCATTTCGGGCTTCTTGTCATGTCCTGGAAATGATCCGGCAAATTACTACTATGCTTAAATATGTTTTCCAACAGTAATAGTAAACAGGAGGACGCATAAGACCTGTGTTAGGCCTAATACAAATTCGATAAAAAATTAAGGGATATGGCGATCAAAACGTTTGAAGGGAATTTCGAGGTAATTTCAAAAAACGTCGAGGAATCAAGACTACGAGATTAATTTCGAAATTACTTTCTTTTTTTTGTAGTATGATTTTAAACATCTAAAAAGATTCTATAAAGTTTTCTAGAACCCCACATTGCAATCAGTCCTTCATCGTAATTGGTTTGAATAGATGATAATTACAGCGGAGCTCAGCCGTGAAGTATTTGTTAATCGTAAACGATATTAAATATAGACTTCTATACAGGGTGTCTGCGAAAGATTGGGAAATCTCGAAACTGGACATACTACAGACCAAAATATGTGGATTGACCTAAACATACCTCAGTCCAAAAGTTGGTAGCTTGCGAGATACAGGGTGTCAAAGTTTCAATTTTATTTTCTATTTTTCCTTATTGCTTGAGAAGTATTTCAGATTTTGGCATTAAGCTCGGTATAGGGAGGTTTTCAAGTATGAGAAACAAAAATCCGACATTTTTTATAGCAAACTTATAGGGGGCGTCACTTGCAGCACTATTTCGGTAAAAAACTTATCATAACTTTTTTGTGCTACTCTGTATAAAACAACTGACCGAAAAATCTTATTATCTCGTACTTCCACAACAAAAAAGGTTTACATGTTAGAAGTGTCTAAAACTAATATTTTTTGAGATATTTGTTTTTAAAGCAACATTTTGCAAATCCGTACATTAAATACATATCAGAATATTCATCAAACTTATACTCCATGATGTTTAAGAACTAATTGTCAACATAAACTTATTCATAAAGTTTAAAGCAATATTATGACAAACATTAGAAACCATAACAACGCTACTCAGATGTTATACAAAGCAACATGATTATTGTGTTAAAAAAGTATTTTATCATCATGGTACAAATAATGCATTGGAACTCATGACGCCCTCTAGAAGTTTGGCCATAAAAAATAACGGATTTTTATTTCTTATACTAGAAAACCTCCCTATACCGAGTTTTGTGCCAGCATCTGATATACTTATCAAGCAATAAGGAAAAATAATAAATAAAATTGTAACTTTGACACCATATTTTGGTTTGTAGTATCTCCAGTTTCGATGTTTCCCAACCTTTTGCAGACATCCTGTATATGTTGCTATTTGGGGGCCAAGTCATCATACTCATCCAAATGGGCTCTTTGATTTGTCAGTTTCCATTTGATACTAATATCGTTCTCCACTGACATGCACTAAGTCATCGCAAATGGAATTGCAATTCCGGTAACGGTGTAGGGCAATATGAAGTGGAAGCGCAGTAGCGCGGAAACACAATCAGTGCAGGACGGATATTCATCAATTATTTCACAACCTATTTGAGTTATGTATATGACCTAGTATTTATCATATTTCTTGCTTATACCACCATAGCGAAGTTCACAAATTTTGAGGAACTTGTACAAACGACGTAGTATTTAGGAAGATAATGTAAACTAGCAATGATTTTCCCAGAGGAGCACACGATAACAAAGAAAAATGCACTGAAGAACCTGGCAGCACAGCCCAATAAGACGTGCGTAAATGGTGCAAAAGTGCATGCCGGTGGAAAACACTATTTCTTTGACTTGGTGTGAATTTCACACTGACAGTGATCGCTGCAGTGTTGTGGTATCTTAAGCGCTGGCAATATGTATTTATAATAGATTTTGGCCTGACGATTTTCTATGTTTTATAAACCGCAATGAACAGGGATATTCAAATTATGATGTAGATGTATTCTATTTGTGTACATTAAAACCTTATTATAGTTCTCCCGATATGCCTCAAACCTAAATGAAACAATTGTTAAATGTTGTCGTACCACTATGAAAATGTTTATGTTATACCACAAATCTTTTTGAGTTTTTAGTATGCAGCAATTAAAATGTTTGTTAAATATATTTAAATTTTATTTATGCAAATTGTAAACCAAACATTTGTCCATATATTGATATGAATAAAGTTATTGTACAAAAACAGCTCAAGCATCTTATTTCTAAATGCCGGAACACCGCGGCTGCTATGATGATCCCCAAGAAATTTTGTTAATACGATTTTTGAACTGCCTAAGGTTAGTAAACTGGGAAAGGCTTCCTCGTGCAGATTGTTTGACAGTCTCGACACTCTCGGGACAAAGGAGCGGTCATATCGCCCAGTTCAGGATGTACGAAGCTCGACACGGTTAGGATGGTACGCCAAAGTTATTGTTGTCTGTCTGGCAGGCACATCATGCGGCAACATCATGGAAGAGAGCTCTGAGGAGCAAAGCCCGTTGGTGTAGCGGTAGAAAAGAGCTAGATCGCCGACGGCCCGCGAAAGAGTTCCGAGACTGTCTGTTAGAGAAGAGTCATCGATACTCGAGGCTAGGCCTTATCTGGGCCTTCCATAGAGTGAAAAGGTCATGCGGAAAAAAGTACTTCTCAGCCCTAAACAAATAGCCTAGCTTTTTCTCAGCAGGAGCAGCTATTGACAAGATGTGTTCGTGCCAGATCAGGTCCTCGGTAATCTGGACTCCGACCAGCCGAAATGAATGGCTCTTTGACAGAGCTCGGCCGTCCTTCGAAACCGGATGAGCGCTAGGACGCAATTTGTTCGTCAAAGTACTGTACTGTGTTTTTGGAAGCATTCAACAGTACGAGATTGTTGGGTCTCTAAGCAGTGATAGCCTCCAGGCCTCTTGTAAGACAGGATGTAGCCTTCTTTTTTCCAGCTCAGCGGCAGAGATCGGTTTGTTACTCTGAATTCCTGCATGTAGAGTGCTGTCATCAGCGAACCTGAGGATTGGGTTGATCGAGCAGGAAAGGAGGTCGTTAATATGTAAGAGAAAGTGTCTGAGCCAAGACTGATCCTTGGGGAACACCCGCGTTGACGTTGTGGGATTAATAGGAGAACCCCTCAATTACGACGGATACCTTGCGTCCAGAGATAAAGTCAACCACACATCTGCAAAGCTTTTCTGGAAGGCCATAGGAGGGAAGTTTGCTTAATAGGGCAGCGTGCCACAGCTGATCGAACGCTTTCGTGGTGTCAAGAGCAACGACAAGGGCCTCACCATAAGACTGGATGAGTTTACTCCACAATTGCGCGACGTCAGCCAGGAGATCCCCTGTGGATCGTTGGTACCGGAAACCATATTGCCTGTCGCTAATCAAGCTGTGAAGTTCGCGACTTATGCACCTCTCCATCACCTTACTTATAACAGGAAGCAGAGCTATAGGCTTGTACTTGTAAGGGTCGGTCTTAGATCCCTTTTTTCCAGTTTTCTGGGAAGGTGCCGGATTCATAAGATATCTGGAAGAGATGCGAAAGAACTGGAACAAGCTCCGCTGCACACCTCTTCAGTACAGTGGCAGGAATCAAGTCCGGACCAGAAGCTTTGTTGATGTCGAGCGACAAGAGCACTCATATTACGGTCTTATGCCTGAATGTTACCTCCCGCATAGTGTAGGGAACCCTTTGAATTAACGGCACTTGGGCGTTGGGGAGGACGTCCATGGTGGAGTTTTCAGCAATGGCCTTGGCCAGCACTTCCGCCTTGGACTTTGAGTCGAATACAATTATTCCATCTTGACACGTTAGTGGTGGGAGGCTACTATGTGAGAGGTTCTTTTTAATCTGCTTGACCAGCGTCCAGAAAGACCGACTGCCATTGGGCTTAGCTTTTATATCGTGCTGGTTTTTGGCATTGCAAACCGATTCGTTATATTTGTTTCTAGACTCGACGTCGGCTTGTCTGTTCTCTACAGAGGGGTTTTGTAAGAAGGTTTTGTGTGCCCTGATCTTCTGCTGGCGAGCAGCGTCACACGATTTGTTAAACCAGCCGCTGGAACCTGGTAAAGGCACTTTCACTATGTGAGGGATGTATTCATCCATTCCGACGTGGATAATTTCAGTTATCGAAGAACAGACAGCCGACGCATCCGCGTCAGTGAAACAGACATCTCTCCAAGGAAAGGTAGAGAAGTCTCTGAGCCCCTCCCAGTCAGCATGTCCGTAATGCCAAGTGTTGCGGCCTGTACGAGTTTCTGCTGTCACAGCGGGTTCTGACCGAAACCTAACCTCCACAACACCGTGGTCTGAGTTACCCAAGGGGGACAGGACAGCAGTGCTGTAAGGGACAGGATGCATGGTCAGAAAGAGATCCAGCAAGCTACTGGCGAGTGACGAGACGCGGAGGAAAAAAGTAGAGCTCGTCACCAGCTGGGTCAGCCCTTGAGAAAGAGCGAACGCTTCGACTGCACGACCTGCTGCATCAGTCTTGTTTGAGCCCAACCAAAGCTCATTATCGGCATTGAAATCACCGAGAAGAACTACCTCTGGAGCGAGGTAAGGTATTCTAATAGGTCATCCCAGTTATGGTTCGAGGGAGAGCGATAAAGGCAGCAAATAAATTTGGGTGATGTTTTGGAGTTGAGGCGAAGCCACATAATGTTCTTCCGGTTTGATTCAAAAGAAACATTTCTGGAGTAGGAAAGACTGCTGCGGACAAAAGCCACAACTCCCCCGTTCTTTCTCAGCTTGGAGTGCACCTCGTAGTTTGGAAAGGTAAGATGGTTAATCGGTGCAGACTCTGAGATTTTTGTCTCCGCTAAGAAAAGCATGGCGGGACGATTAGGTTGCAGGAAGTGATGAACAGCATCAATGCTGCTGTTAATCTCGCCGATGTTTGTAAAATAAATTTTATCTCCTATGTTGTTCCCTCGAGCCCGCCCTCCACCCGGACATTCCGAGAGTGGAGTTAGTTTACGTCCGGAATTCTTAGTGCTCGAGGGATCCATTATCATAACCGACTGCATAGCTTAGGTGTGGAAACAAGCGAACACTTGTAAGACACCCTGGGAAAAGTTAGCGGGTGGTACCGCCTCGGCCGACTGGTCCTTGTCTACCACCTTCTTTTTACGTGCTAATGAAATTAAATAGACCTAAAGTGGCCCCCGTTGGCGGACTTGCACCGCCACCCGGCAACCGGTACTGAGGTGTTCCTTAACGCGTGTACAATCACTTGAACGGGAAGAAGTTGTATACTGGATACAACTTCCAGAACATGCATTTATCATGGTCCCGCTCGGTAGGGGTTAAATATCGTTGGAGTTGAGGAGGAATGGTCTTACATATCGAAAGAGACTTAAGTGCTCCAAATATTCTTAAGCACAACTCCTTCGTATACCAAGATGCTGTCGTCAACTGATGCGGGTACACTTTGTCAATGGAAAAATCAGTATATTAGATGACAATGTTAGATACAAAAATACAGCGGAATTTGTAGATAAAATCCTTGTCGGTGCGCAACAGGGGTGTATCCCAGCCTTTGTGGGAAGAGTGAGGGGTGAAGCTTTGAATAGTCCGAGCTATATGGATAACTGCCTTTCCAAATTGCTTCAGTTTGTCCACGAACAACATGATAATGACCATATCATGTTTTGGCCAGACCTAGAATTATGCCATTACTCAAGAGATATCCAAAACTGGCTTCGATAACTTTTGATCCCAAAAACGATAAATCTCCAAACTTGGCGCAGAATTGCCCTATAGAGGATTTTTGGGCTTTACTGTCTAGGAAGATTTATCATGGCTATGAAGCCCAAGATGAAAAAAAAAAATAAAACGGCGAATTTACAAAAAAACTGAGAGAAATTGATCTGAATTCCGTACATGACGTCACGAGGGGCATTCGAAAAAAGCAGAATGGGCCACTCCACATAACTCCATAGTATTGAGTTGTAATTTACGTAAACTAATTAATTTTTGAATAAATGTCTTGATCAAAAATCTATAAGTTTTTTGTGCAAAAACTTTCAGGATATACGTTACGCTTATGGCGTCAAGAAAAAGAACGGTAACACCAGTGATCAATGTTCATTAAAAGAACTTTTTCCTTTTGTAGTCATTAACTTCATTCTCATTTCTACAATGTTCATGAGGCTATGGAGAAACGACGTGATGCTTAAACCTAGTTATCTTAGAAGACCTATTTCCTACTGAGAGTGCCACTTAGTGCATGTAGACACAGTTATCTATAAGTTGGAGACAGGAGGGCATGGTCGGAGCTTAAGCGGGCATGGGGGGACATTGCCTTTAAGCTTTATCGCTATGATACCTCAACGTAAGCTTGAAAAAAGCTACCCTTTGTCAAGCTTGTGCTCTTGGAGCTTGACGTGTCGGTTCAGTCTGCACCCATCTTTGAGTGCCGGGCGACATGTTTGGTAGATGCCGGTGAATCATGCAACAATAATGATAATAATCGAATATCTAGTCAACTGGGATACACGCACAAATCTATCAATAAACGCATGCTTTTCATTATATCGTCTTCAGGTGAGCAATGCGTGTATTCACTGCATGCGCGATGATACCGCCACCTCGTGACCATAGTTATTCGGGTCTCGAGACCAGTCAATTCTAGGCAACTAGATATTTTGATAATTTTAATTTTGCACTGAAATTACATAAAAACCAAATAAAAGCTCTTAGACTTATTGTCGTGCATATTTAAATAAGTATTATGCGTACTTTATTTAAGCGTCCAACCTCAAACTATGCACAAAGGCAAGAAAATAGTGCGAGCAGAGCATATGAGACTTAGCTTAGGAATGGACAAAGCTATACTCAATACGAGTTCTGATCTTAAGGCAGATGATGTGACACAAGCTCAATACAAAAACGCAACGCTTATATTAATTATTTTAATACTTATCTTCAATTCCAGTTAAGTTATGTAATTGTTGCACACAGTATAGTAAAAATAAGATTTATTCACTAATAAGGTAATTGATTGTTCTTTCCTCTTTATAGCAGTTATCCATATTTTTATTTGCTCTCATTTCGAGGTTGCTGTAGGAAACGTATAAAATTTACGTGCTGTTTTTTTACCATTTTTAC